TCTCTAATAAAATATATACTTTATCTATAAACTATTATTTGCCTGAACTGCTATAGACAGAAGGGTATAGTTTCTAGTTGTAGTAGAAATTATATTTACCTGTTGGACACTGCTATAAACCTGTGAAGGATCCCTGTAGCTATGTCATTGTTATAGTACTGCTGTTAAGAAGATCACGGTATTGTAACAATATATTATAATTATATAATTATTATATATACCCACCTATATTAAAGATCAACCTTATAAGTATATGCTTTAAATTTATATAGTATATTAATTATTTGTATACTTCTCAAAATTTATATCTTAGGGCAGTATCATTTATCACTTGATTTTTTTTTATCAGAGGCTTACCCTTCTCCCCCTCTTACTATATATCTTGATCAGGTATTTATATATAATTTTAAATTTTTTACCCCTCCTCCCTAAAAAATCACCTGATTTTTGTCATATCCCTTAATATATGCTTTTTGAAATTCATATTGAATATCAAATTTATAATTTAGAGATTTGAGTAATAGACTAGAAAAACTAGTTTTTAATACTTTTTTAACAATTTTAAGATTTTTGATTTAAATTAAAATGCTGGTTTCTATTCAAATGTATTTTATTTTTACTCTATATTGATATAATAATTTATTAGATATTTTAACTTAAATATAACTTAATTTTTTAATATTTGTGTTTTAAAAATAGATTGACAAACAAAGATTGATAACTCAATTAAATTAGATTAGTTAATTAGTATTTTATAATCATATGATATTGTTTATTTAATAATTGATATCTAAAAATAAACAAAAAATTCAAAGATAAAATTTAGATTTCACATACAAATAATCGGCATTTTCTCAAAATAGAAACTCTTTTTCAAAGAAAATACCCTTATATCAAGCGAAAATCAAACCTTTTTGATTAAAGTATCTTAAATATTATATATAAATCAGATATTAAAAGGTAAAAAATATATATAAATTTTAATGCTAAATATTTTTAATTAAAAGCCAGATGTTGGTTAGCATAGTAAATTTGGCTCTATTTAGGATTTTTCACTTTTTTTCTGTTTTTTTGTGCTTGTTTTTGTTATACAAGATCCTGAGATTTTATTGGTTCCGGACCAGAAATTTTAGGGTCGAAGGTCAATTTTCACTTGACATAAGGGTACCCCTTCAAAGGCGGGTTTTCCTAGTTCACAACCCATTTGTATAACCTGTTTCAGATTTTTTATTTGCCACTTGCATTCCTGATGATAACATAATGCAGTAATGCCTTAAAATTATTCCACGGGCATTATGTCATCGTTAAAAATCTAGTAGGTTAGTAATGTCCAAAAAATTTTACCATTTCGTGTAACCCGGCCAAATTTTAGCAAATTTTACTAATAAACCCGCTAACCGATAAGCTAAGTAAAGTTGCTCAGATCGTAATTTTGCATAATATTAGCTAGCTTGCATTATACTTGTATTAGCACTTCGTAGGTCCAATCCGATGTCCGAATCCGAACCAGACGATCGAGTCCGGAAGCTCGGGTTACACGAAATGGTAAAATTTTTTGGACATCGCTAACCTACTATAAAAATCAGAAATGTTACGGGGAAATATATCCGGTGCAGCCCGTGGAATATCTAGAGGTTAATTTGGATCCCAATATTCAGCATCAGCCGTGACATTTAATAAGTATAAGCTTATACGTACTTGATAAATAAAATTTTAAATAAAAAAATATATATAGCAAAAATATGTAAGAATTTTTTTTATATTAGAATACAAATTTTTAATAAATTTTTTAATAATTTTAAATTTTAACAATGTTGATAAAATATATCTTCAAATACGTATATCAACACATTTAATCAGTAATGGAAACCCCTGTATGAGAACATATTCTGTGACTGTTATACAAAATTGTGTAATACTCGACAACCACAAACATTTAAAATATAAATTAATATTCAAACTACAAATAATTGTAATTATTTTAATAAACTTGTAGTGTAGTTTATTAAGACCCAATGAATTTAAAACTTTACAAAAGTGTTATGCAGCCTTGGAATTAACAATTTCTAAATAAATAAAATTAATAATCATTAGTAATTAAGAATTTTAGATCAGAAAAACACAATGATGCTCACTTTCAACGTCTTCAATAGATTGGATAAGGATCTCTTGTTGCTATAAATAAACCATCCATTTTTTTTCTAATGAATAAATCAAATAATCTTATTATCACTAGATACGTTTAACAGCCTTACCGTTTTTTGATCTCGTAATTGAGCCATCACACGTTCCATAAGATAACTAGCAAGTGCTTTTTGTTCACGTTCACGTAGCGAGGCTTCATAACGCACCCACGAATCTAAAACAGCTTTTATCTCAGCGGCAGCTGCAGATTTTTGTTTCAATTCGAAGGCTTCGGCTTCCAATCTTGCAGTTTCCTTCGTAATAATAATAAAAAATAATAAAAATCATGAATTATAAGTAAACAATTCAAAGAAAGCATAGTATTGTACTCCCGAAAAATATAAGTTACCTTGGACATAGCAAACAATGCTTTTGTGATATCAACAATA